ATTATGTAGTGTAACTGGTGAAGTTTTATAGTTGCAGTGATATTCTATTGTGTTGGTTTGAGAAATAAGTGTTGTGGAGGATTTGAGTTGATTTTGAAACACTTGTCGTTATCTCGTATATATATAAATATATATATATATATATTGGGATCGGGTTGCACGCCGCAACAGGAGGAATAAGGGTGAATGTGATGTCTGGTGGGATCAGGTTGCACGCCGCAACAAGGAGTAATAAGGGTGGATAGGTGGGATCGGGTTGCACGCCACAACAGGAGGAATAAGGGTGATATATTGAGGAGTAATAAGGGTGGACCGGTGGGATCGGGTTGCACGCCGCAACAAGGAGTAATAAGGGTGAATGTTGATACTGTCATTGTTTATATGGTGGGATCGGCATGCACGCCACATCAGTTGTTGATTATGTATCCATTTCTGTTGAGGTTCATTACAGTGATGTTAAAACTCCCTTAAGGATTGGTTATAGCTGAATATTGGTAGAACGACTGGGTTCCGTATTTATCTAATGCAAGTTCCTGTTATATTTCATTTTGTACTTCTTTTTTTGTTTAGTATAAACTGTTGCAGGTTATATATATGTTGTTATGCCCCGCCGTAGCCTCGTCACTACTTCGTTGAGGTTAGGCTCGGCACTTACCAGTACATAGGATCGGTTGTACTGATGCTGCACTCTGCACTTCCTGTCCAGATTTCGGAGCTAGTGGCTGATCGAGAGGTTGTTGTTGTTACTGCGTTTCAGAGACCCAAGGTAGTCCTGTAGGCGTCCGCAAGCCCAGGCGTCCCCTTCCATCTTTACTTCATTTCTCATTTGTTTACTTTCGAGACAGATTATATTCTTTTCTTTTAGACCAGTATTTGTAGTAATCTGTAGAAAGTTCGTGAGTTGTGACACCAGTTTCTGGGTGGTATCTACTTCGGATTTCGTATTTAGCATAAAGATGATCTTTTAAACTGTGTAATTCCGCTTTTATTTCCGCTGATTTACTTTTGTTAAGTTTTAATTATTAAAAGATGAAGCAAAAAGGTGAAATATTCTGCAACGTTGGCTTGCCTAGCGAGTACAATATTAGGCGCCATCACGGTCTCGACCGTGGGAAATTCGGGTCGTCACAAATAACTAACTTCTTATTTCCACATTTGCCCAAAAATATCATTGGCGATTTTTCACTGGAAGACAGAGACAGCACCAAGTTTGCAATTTCTGAGTTTATATGCAGTTACGCTGCTTGATTTTGGATCGTGATAAACTTGGTGTTAGAGCCCTAGGTTTAAAGTTATATGAGTCAAGGAACAATGTCTTAGTAAAGTCTCATTTATGGATGTATTGAATCTCATACTTATAAGCGAGAGGCACAGAGGCATTTAAGAAAGTTTCCCATTCTTTGATTCTTCCTTGTGCTATAGAACTTGAAGTAAGGAATATGATATCCTTCGTTTCCACCTATGCAAGGGAACACGTTCATCTGATCAAGTACTAGCAGTTAATGATATATATTAATTCTAATTCCATAGACACATATGTGTTAGGTTATCTTGAATGAGGACCCAAAATATTCTTATGAGAAATATTAACCCTATTAACCAATAAACCAGATAAATTAATTAGTCAATTTATGTGAAAAACTCAACAGGATTGTTAGCTGACTCATATATGGTAATTCAAATTCCATCGACACATATGTATTAGGTTAGCTTGAATAAGGACTCAAAAATATTCTTTTGAGAAATATTAACCCTATTAACCAATAAACAAGATAAATTAATTAGTCAATTTATATGAAAAACTCAACAGGATGGTTAGCTGACTCATAGCACTGAAATATTATTTCTTACTGAATTTAGTCTCTAAGTTTGCCTACTCGTCTTCGTTAATTGCTTTTGTCACGACCCAATTCCCACCCGGTCGTGATGGCGCCTCTCGTGAAGACAAGGCCAGCCAACAAAATAATCAACACTGCTTTTGACAATTTCTTAGCATAAACAGGTTTAAACCATAGATACTGATTAATCATAAGTGCGAAAATAAACGTAACATAACGGGGAAAAACCATCCCAAACTCAGCCCGATGATCGGGGTGTCACAAGTCACGAGCTACTACAGAGTTGATGAAAGTACTACAAGTCTGGAAACATAGTCTGAAGATGAATAAAATATGCAGAAGATAAGGTTGAAATGGGGCTGTGGACGTTGATAGCTACCTCGTCTCTCCTAGTCCACCTGGTCTGGAAGGAAATCAGCGCTCAGGTACGAACTCAGCTGTGCCTGTCTCTGCACACATGGTGCAGGAAGTAATGTGAGTACTCCGACCCAGTGAGTAATAAAAATAAATAACGACTGAGAACATAAAATCCCACAAGGGCACAAATAATGCTATCTCAAGCAGCAATATCAGATAAATAGTAGAAACCAGTGATATATAGTAAGAAAATTCTTTTTGAAAATAGTTAAAAATGAATCATACTCAACCAATAAGTCAGCCATTGTTACCTGACCGGTCAGCCATTGTTACCTGACCAAACGCGTATTGCAGTGCCATTGTTACAACTGGTCAGTCATTGTTACCTGACCGGTCAGACATTGTTACCTGACCAAACGCGTATAACAGTGTCATTGTTACCACTGTTCAATATTTAATCACTCTAGATGGGTACCCGCGCTCACTGTGGGTGTGCAGACTCCGGAGGGGCTCCTACAGCCCAAGTGCTAACAACAAGGCCTGAAAGCCTGAACAATATCAATACGAGGCCTGAAAGCCTGCTCACAATGCACTCGAGGCCTGAAAGCCTCCTCACCTCACTCATCATATCCTCACACAAGGCCCTTGGCCTCAATCGGTCCAAAGATAGTCAAAGCCCCTCGGGCATCAGTAAACCATAATACTCAGCTCAACAATAGTTCAAATATCAGCTAAAACACCAAGTTTGAGTAAAAATATAGCTGAGTTCATGAAACAGTGTAAATCACACGGACTAAGTTCAAATAATATCTCAAACAGTGAGGAAAATAGTGATGATAGTTCATAAAGAGTTCAAACGGTCGGCAATAAGCCCCAAATATGGCAATAAGCCCAAATCATAGTAAAAACAACAAGTCATTGCCAATACGCGGTAAAATATCATCCGGACTGGACCAAGTCACAGTCCCCAATAGTAAATGACCCCGCGCTCGTCATGGAACGCGTGTCTCATCTCAACATAGCACCAAGTTGTGCAAATCCGGGGTTTCAAACCCTCAGAACATCATTTAAAATCATTACTCACCTCTAGCCGGCCAAAGTCTAGCTCGCTATGCCTTTTCCCCTCGAATCGACCTCCTCGCGCGTCGAATCTGATCAAAACCACAAGGAATACATCACAATAGGCTAATGGGTCATAACCCTATCGAAAAGACTCGAAAAATATCAAAAATCACGAAGTTGGCAAAACCCGAGCCCCGGGCCCACTTCTCGAAAAATTACGAAATTCACATCTCCGGATTCCTCGTCTCGCCACGAGTCTATACATATAAAAATCATCAAAATCTGGGTCCATTTGACCCCTCAAATCCCCATTTTAAACTCTCTTAAATTCAAGCCCTAAACCACCATTTTTGACCTTTGATTCCTTGATTATTCAGTCCAAATTCATGTTTATACACCATAAAATCAAGCTCTAAGTCCAAGAGTTCATACCTGATAATAGCCCTCGAATCCCTCTTCAAAATCGCCTCAAAGATCTCAAGGTTCGGAGTCCAAAATGTCACTCTTTCAAAAATTCGCGAAGAAGATGTTCTCACTTAACCTGCCAGTTATTTCCGCTTCTGCGGATTAATTCCCGCTTTTGCGCCTTCCGCTTATGCGGTCAATGTCCGCTCCTGCGGACCTTTCACTTAAGGCGACTTTCCGCTTCTGCGGTCCAACTTCGCATCTGCGGGACCGCTTAAGCGACCCAATGTCCCGCTTCTGCGGAACCTGACCTGGGCTCCTATTACCGCTCCTGCGAGGCCTAGCTCGCTTCTGCGAGACCGCATCTGCGATCTCCTTTCCGCAGATGCGGAAACACCTGCTGCAACCAAAAACCTGCAATTTTCCAACTTCAAATTCCTTCCGTTAGCCACCCGAAATCACCCCGAGGCCCCCGGGACCTCAACCAAAGTTACCAACACATCTTAAAACATTATTCAAACTTGTTCCAATCCTCAAAACACGTCTAACAACGCTAAAACCATTAAATCACATCGAATTCAAGCCTAAGATTCTTCAAAACTTCTGCAATACGCATTCGATCAAAACCCGACCAAAACATCTCCGAATGACCTGAAATTTTGCACACACATCCAAAATCACCTAACGGAGCTATTGCAACTCTCGGAATTCCATTCCGACCCTCGGATCAAAATCTCACCTACCAACCGGAATTTGCCAAAATACTAACTTCGCCAATTCAAGCATAATTCTACACCGGACCTCCAAAACCAATTCCGATCACGCTCCTAAGTCACAAATCATCCCCCGAAGCTAACCGAATCTCTGAAAATCACATCCGAGCCCTCTAACTAACTAGTCAACTTCCGGTTGACTTTTCCAAAACAAGCTTTCCTTAGAGAGACTAAATGTCTCATTTCCGACCAAAACCAAACCAATCCAACTCGATTACCTCAAATACCGATAATGAAGCATGGAGAAACATAATATGGGTAAAACGGGGCGGTAACTCACGTGACGACGGGCCGGGTCGTCGCATCTTTATTTTAGTATTTTTATATTATTTGTAGTTATTTAAAATCATCAACTTGAGAAACCGTTTGAATAAATAATTCGTTTTAGTTTAGTTTAGTTGATAGCTAATAACAAGTACTCGTGAGAACGATACTCTACGTACTTATCACTTTATTACTTGTCGATCGTGCATACTTGCGAGTATATTGGCTGCAAAAATGGTCATAAATTCAACACTAAATATCATTGAACTTTTATTATTTGTGGAATTGTGTACACTTGAGAGAATTTAAGAGTTGCAGAGACATAGATCTTTCTCAAATTTTATTCTGTAGTGAACGACCTTACAAGTAAGAAGAAAAGATTTATTAAAACTTACCGGCATCCCTGCATCTTTATTTCAATAGTTCAACAGAACTATTAACTATTTGCAAACCGCAACCTTCACTACATGATTGACATCATGCTAGTGAGCGATAGCGGCTCCTGTTTACTAATATACTAACTTATCACTGATCAAAGATTATATAAAGCCCGGTATTATCAGAAAGGATATATAGGTGTCATGTCCTTTGATGACCAGCGTTTGTGACATGTCTTATTTAGGAGAATTTCTTCCGAAGATCTTCAATCACCATCTTATCCAATTTAAAAGCTTTGGCAAGATAATCATCGCTAATAGGAGGATCAGAAGCAAAGATTGAACTAGGAACTATGGCAGATATATAATTTGCGCCGTTGAAAGCCTGGATTAGTGTTGCACTAGTGTTTCCCACATTATATTGAAAGTGAATATGACCTTGTGGAAAAACAAACACATCACCAGCATTCAAGATCTTGGAAACGAGTTGAGTCTTTTGCAAGTTACTTGAATTAGGAACAAGAAAGCCAACATATAAACTACCCTCTAAGACAGTCATGAGCTCAGAAAATTGAGGATGTGAATGAAGTGGTACGAGAGCTAATGGCTCGTATATTAAACGAATTATAGTAATACCAATAGTATTGATTGCTGGAATTGTTCTTGCATCTACCACAGATGCATAGATACCATCATAATTAGCCAATGGTTTGAATTGATTAGGATTAAGCGCTGATGAAGCAAAGTAATCATTTGCATTTACAAGCTTTGAGTCTTCGTATATCTTTTCCTTCTCCAAAACTGCACGCATAGGTTAAATAACATCTTTATATATATGACGTAGTTTGACTAGATATGAAATTTAAGGAATAAAGAAAGAAAGACATTTGAAATTTATGATTTTATAATATTTGTGTGACTCTAAAACTTTTTATACTTGTAGTTAGGGGCGTACGCATGAATTTTTGTAAGCGATGTCGAAATTTATAGAAGAACGAGAATAATAACTTTAATTATCATACTTTTAGACTAGAAATAGCTTTAGTCTATTGGTTTTGTTGAGTCTTAAGTTAGAAAATGTATTGAATTAAATTCTACTTCATCACAATTTTTAATCACATGGAGTCTCTCAAATATTTGCAAAAACTATGTGGTTTTAAACAAATTATAACATTTGTATAAGCTTGTCATTAAGGGTAAAATAAATTATAACATTTGTATAAGCTTGTCATTAAGGGTAAAATAACAAGTTCAAGTTAAACTGTTTTCAAACTTTTAAAAAGTATTATAATTTTTTGGAACATGCTAATAAAGAAATATGATGACTGAAATAGTGTCATGAAAACAAACATAAATCCAGAAAGTGAGAACTAATATTGTTTGAAAAAGAATGAATTACCAGCAGCTTCAGGGCCTTTAAGATGATATGCACAAGTAAATGAAGTAAGGAAAGTAGTGCAGATTAACAAGCATAGGGTCATTGATATTGCACTAGTTGTTTCCACAGCAAAAACTCTAGCTCTTACAATTTTGTTTTGCTTTGAGTTTGCTGTTTGTATTTCTTTCAAACAACTAGAGATGTGTGACTATTTATAGTTTCGATCTAGTCATTTTGTAATAGGTCAAATTATGGTATTGGTAACTCATAGTATCCGGTCAAAATATTTAACTTACTGCTGGTTTGGATTATTGTTACTTATTGTACTGTATCGTATTGTTACTTTAAGTACAATATTTATTTTGATTGTTATTTAAATTCTCAACGTTAAATCCGTCGTTACGAAGTGACGATAAGTGTCACTTTAATTTATTCAACGCCCGATTTGGTGTGGCCGCGTCATTATTTTTTTCGCTCATCTTGTCCTTCCTTATTAAATATTAAATAACTATATTTTATCCTTTACCTTACCTTTTTATATAATAATTCTACCCCAGACCTTATTTTTTCTTTAAAATATTGCAAGTTTATTTGAAATATTATTGATGAATGACATCATGAAACAACGGCAAACAATACAATCTATCCAAACATTATATACATCAAAATCATAAAATACAATATACTACCTTACTAAACCAGACATAACAACCATCCAAACAAGCTGTTAATTGCGATTAATTGGAGGCAATGCCAAATAGCACTTTTGTCTTTTGGTGTCTAATTTTGATAAAGAAGTCTAAACACCGTTATACTGAAGAAAACATCAAACACTTCCTGATAAGGGAGTCTTTGTGTATCACTTGATGTAAGTAGTTGATTTATTTTAGAAATTATATAGCTATTAAACATGTACCAGATTAGAACAATAACCAGACAATTTGTTATTCTTGACATTTTACTAGGAAGAACATGAACTAACTAGGACGATGGAACGAGAGTTACAGAAAATATCTGCTTTCATATTGGAATAAGTTCACTCGTAATGTTGGATGTAATGTTTCTAATCCCTATTTGGTGCGAACCTTTAAGGGGATCAACAAGATCTAAACCCTTTAATTAGGGGTCTCGGATTCGAGTATTGGATAGAAAAAATTCTTGTAAAAAGTGTTTTTTCTTTAATGAGCCCTAAATAGTGCAAATCCAAAGTAGTTGGTCCAGCGTAAGGGTGTCAATGGACATTTAAAAATCGAGGAAATCGATGGAACCGAACCGTACCGAACCGATTTTTAGGTTTTTTTTAATAAAACCACAAGTTTTTATATAAATCTATAATTGTACCGATAATAAGGGTAAGTTATTTGTTATGAAAGAAACCAAAAAAGTACTGAATTGTACCTAATAAATTCACATGTGAAAAAGATATTTATATATTAAGTTTAAAAATAATAAAGTATTAAATTTTTCCTTGGGCTTGAAATTATGAAAATAGTTACAAGCCAAAAAGTAATTAAAATCAAAATCATAATTCCCAAACCTATTATGCTACTCCTAGTGAAACTAAGTTATTTCCAGCATTTTCACTAGTAAGACACAAAGTATTCTAGAGATTATGAGTAGCAAACTACTATATATTGAATATGTTTCCTTTTGTATGATTTGAATTTATCTTTTTGAATATTTAATCTTCTATAGACTTTATCTTTGAGTCGAAGCTTGGTTAATATCTTTCTACTCATGTGATTTATCCTTTTTATTTTGGTCTTTGCTTAGTTTCTTTTATGTTATTGTAGAGTATTTGATGGATCTATACTCTGGTCATCTTTCATGTTTTCTTAATTCATCACCATTTAAACCGTAAAATTGTCTAGAGAGTTTTGCTAAGTCCTATAAAAGTATGTATGTTATTGTATTCTACTTTTAATAGTGACTTTTACATGACATTTTAAAAAATACGACAATTAACCGAACCGTACCGATACCGAAGAGAAACCGACATGATTGAGACGGTTTCGAAAAGTCTAATTTTGATTATACATAACAGAATAACCAAAAAATTGGTATGGTATAAATTTTATGAAATAACCGCCGAACGGAACCATTGACACCCCTAATCCAGCGGATATCGAATATCGAACGGTTATACCCAAAAACAAAAAACAAATGGGCAGACTCTCTTTGGTATTCACTTGTTGCAATTGGTTCTGTACCCTGGCATAATATAACACTACCAGAAAAATAGGTATTAGTTCGGTAGCTAAACAGAAAATTCGTCGCTAATTCCATTTAGCGACGTATTAACGACAAGATTATTAAGAAATTTTGTTAGCTACGAGCGATTTAGCGACGAAATCCTTAGCTAATTTTAGTATTTTTGGAGTGCAATGAATACTTCCAGAGTTCCACTTCCAGTTGTATCTGCCAGAGAAATTTGTTACACTTTATTAGATTAGATAATGGGAATAAGTAAAGCTACAAATTAAATACCACAGGATACAATCACTTAATTGTGTTACATTTACAAGAATCTACTCATTACGGATTTGTAGAGCTTCTTCGAATATTTTAAGCTTACATAATGGAAGGAGAGAAAAAGGTTGGAAAAATACAGTAAACAGTGTCAAAACAAGAGAAAAGTATTCCAGCTATTTCACAAATCGCTGGTGAGCAGCTGCACACATTGATAATATTTTTAATGACATATCCTAGGAGAATTTCTTTCGAAGTTGTTTGATCACTTTCTTATCAAGCTGGAAACCTTTACTGTATCGAGAATAGGCGGATCTGAAGCAAAGATTTCACTCGGAATCATAACAAATTTAGGATTTTGACTATTGAAAGAAGCGAGTACAGTAACATTTTTGTGCCCACATTATAAAGGAAGTGAATAAGACCTTGTGGGATCACAAACACGTCGCCAAGATTCAAAATTTTCCAGAAGAGACGACTCTTGAAAACATCTACAGCACGAGGAGCAAGAAATCCAGCATTAATAGTACCCTCCAATATAGTTATAAGCTCAGTAGCTCGAGGGTGTGTGTGAAATGGGACTAGACTCTTGGGTTCCAAATCAGTACGAGCTATAAAAATACCAAGAGTGTTGAGTCCAGGAATTCTGTTGATATCCATACATAGGCTGCACTATATTTTCAATTACATTAAGACCTGAAGCAAAGAAATCATCTGCTTTTGCAAGCTTTGGGTCTTTGCAAATCTTTCCATTCACGAATACTGAATAAATGAAACAAAACAAATTAAAGCTAAGCATATTATGCAGATATTATGTAATACCCCCAATATTTTAAATAGGGACATATGAGGTATTAAGTAAATAATTTAAGTTTGAATAAAAAGAAAAGAAAAAAAAAGAAAACAACTAACTAAATAAACAAAAAAAAGGAAAAGTTAAAAAATTGAAACCAAAAAGGGCCGAAGCCCATACTATACATCTGCCCAAGTTTTTAAAAGGGTTAGGGGAAGGGGGCGAAGCTGTCACGACCCAAAATCCATTAAGGGTCATGATGGCGCCGGACACTGCTGTCAGGCAAGCCAACTGAATTACTTAACCAAATTCTCGTTTTATTATTTTTGAAATTCTAGGATTTTCCTTCCATTTTTCATAAATAAAAAGATCATCACTTTAATTCAAATTAAATAATAAACAACTAGTACAAATCTTTCGAAAAATCATTCCAGAACCTGGTGTCACAAGTGCATAAGCATCTACAGATAAGGAAATAAAATACAACATTCGTCTGAAATACAGTGGATAAGAAATAAATACAAAACACTGGAAGGGACTATACTAGCTGCGGGTCGCCTCGAATAATGCAACTCACCTAGTCCCAGTATCATCCGCGCTGCTACGCCCAGTAGGCCACAAGAGTTACATATACCTGTGCAACAAAAATGCACAGAAGTGTAGTATGAGTACGTAAACAACGTGTACTCAATGAGTATCCCGCCTAATCTCGAAGAAGTAGAGACGAGATGGTCAACTTCGACACTTACTAGAGGTCAATTAACAATTTACTGAAATGTGAGGAAATCATGGATTATATAGTAATTCTAACTCACGCAGCCAGAAAACAGGCAAACACCTTTAACAAATAACAAGGGAGATTCGAGGTTTACTTTTCTTTATTTTATCAATTTATCTCAAGCCATGAAAGGCAATATCAACATTTAAAATTCTCAGGCAGCAATATATAAATCATGCGCAAATCATGTCGAGACGGCGGCCCGCTCCAACAGAAATAAAATGTGCACTTGCCGAGGGTCGACGGCGAGCCTATAGATGCATCTATTTAATCTACCGAGGCGTTCGGCCCGTTCCAAAATAAACACGTAGAGACATTCAATCAAGAAGCCAACATGGGGCAATTATTCAAAGAATAGCTAATTCTCTTTCGACAATTTAAGAAAATGAGGTTTAGATCTTGTTAGAAATTCATTTACTATTTTGATGTGGTTTAAGCAATTCAACTATCCATAAGATTACAAATTTTTAAAATACAGCATGCTTTTGGGTCCTAGACTACCCGGACAATAGCATAATAGTAGCTACGCACGGACTCTCGTCACCTCGTGCGTACGTAGCCCCCCGCAATTAGGAGCACATAATCAATTATTTCACCTATGGGGACAATTCCCTCTTATAAGGATAGAAAGGAGACTCACCTCGCTCCGAAGATCCATAACGGGCATTCCACGCCCTTCCGAAGACTCTAGTTGATGCATCACGCTCCAAAACTAACCAACGGTTACACAAATCCATTAACATATGCTCAATTATTCATTACAATCTAATTTATAGCAATTCCTAACTCCGATCGAAAAGTTGACCAAAGCGCCATCGGGCCCACGTGCCCGGAATCCGAAATTTTTCGAAGATAAAGATTACCCATGACCTTAGGAACTCAAATGTATAATTTTCACTAAATTCCATACTCAATATCGTGGCTGAATTCCAAGTTACTAATTTTCTAGGTTTTCTACCAAAACCCCCAAATTTCAACCAATTTCATGCTCAAATCCTTACATAATTGATGCATTTAACTTAAAATGGATGGGGATATATTACCTTGACATTGATGACGAAAATCCCTCTCTTGAAGCTCCCCAAAAATCGCCCATGCCATGAAAAATGAAAGAGAAATGACCAAAATATGACTTTAAAACAACCCCTCTGCCTTCAGCTATTTCCGCACCTGCGGTTCCTTGACCGCTTCTGCGGTTCCGCAGGTGCGGTCACCTTGCCGCATCTGCGGTCTCCCCTGGGCCTCCCCCTTTTCGCTTCTGCGACCGCACCTCCGCAGATGCGGTCCCGCTTCTGCGGAAAATTTACCGCATCTGCGGTCCGCTCCAGCTGCCCCTCACTCCGCATTTGCGACCACTCTACCGCAGGTGCGGTCCCGCATCTGCGGAAATATGACCGCATCTGCGGTTTCTTCTCTTCTTAGCCCTCATCCACTTCTGCGGTGCCCTTTCCACTTCTGCGGGGCCGCTTCTGCGGTTAGACCACCGCAGAAGCGAAAATACCAGCAACCAGATCCTTCAGCCCTCTTAAAAATTCCAAATTCGATCCGTTAACCATCCGGAATCCACCCGAGGCCCCCGGGACCCCAACCAAACATACCAAAAAATCCCAAAACACATTACGGACTCGCTCGAGGCCTCAAATCACATCAAACAACGCTAAAATCATGAATCGACCTCCAATCCAAACTTAATGAACTTTAGAACTTCCAACTTCTACTTCCGATGCTTAAACCTATCAAATCGCGTCCGATTGACCTCAAACTTTGCACACAAGTCATATTTGACATTACTGACCTACTCCAACTTTCGGAATCGGATTCCGACCCCGATATCAAAAAGTCCACCTCCGGTCAAACTTTTCAAAAACCTTCAAATTTCTATCTTTAGCCAAATGGCTCCAAAATGACCTACCGACCTCCGAATTCACTTCCGATCGCGCTCCCAACTACAGAATCACCATACGGAGCTATTCAAAGTCTCGGAATCCCAAACGGACATCGATAACACTGAAATGCACTTCAAGCAAAACTTATGAAATTTCTTCTAAAATGCTAACTCCCACAATAGGCGCCAAAACGCTCCCGGGTTATCCAAAACCCGAACCGGGCATACGCCCAAGTCCGAAATTATGATACGAACCTGCTGGAACCTTCAGATCCTGATTTCGAGGTCGTTTGCTCAAAATTCCCATCCTAGTTCATTCTTTCAACTTTAAGCTTCCGAAATGAGAATTCTCTTTCCAAATCGACTCTGAACTTCCCGAAACTTAATTTCGACCACGCGTACAAGTCATAATGCCTGAAATGAAGCTGTTCATGGCCTCAGACTACTGAACGATGCGCTAGGGCTCAAAACGACCGTCGGGTCGTTACATTCTCTCCCACTTAAACATACGTTCGTCCTCGAACGTGCTGAGAACTACACTGAAATAGTCTGAAATCACTGTTTAACTTCTCATGCACCTTCCCGTGCTACCACAGCTCAGTTGAGCACATTAGCTCGATCATTTCTGAAGATTTTCTCTTTTATTCAAGCAGATACGCCTTAAAGCCCAATTCCAACATCCGGAACTTCATGCCCGACCTATTTCCACCATAAGGTCACCATATTAATCACCACACGCTGCTCAATCATAGTTGCATAACTTTGCTGAATTCATACCTAGCATCACTTTACTCACCGGACCACAATAACATTTTCTGATCAACTTAGTCGAAATTCCACGAATCTGATGCTCCCATTGCACCCCATGACATACACAAGTCTTACCCTAACTCTCACAATACCGCCACAGTGGAAGAGATGTGCAGAAATTCATAATCAACTGCCGAGTCAACCCATCATTGAGTCTATACTTCTGACAAGATACATTACCATATTCTGAACCAAATCGTGATCTTTGCTCCTTAATATATTCCATATAGTCAGATTGCACTGATCCTGAATCCAATGATTCCATCTCACCCGGTACGAAACGCTCAGGCAATAAGCCACCCCGGACATAATCAAAAGTCTCATATGATGCTATGATGTGCCAATAGGCCACCATTTCGAACGCGATACAAAAGGAAAACATACTCTGGAAGGAATTACCTAACTCCCGCACTAATACGAACTTTCCTTAGAAAATAGGAAGCAGGACATACAAAAATAACACATAGAAGGTCATACTCAACATCACACTGTTGCGGTGCGCAACCCGATCCAAATAACATAGATCTCGCATAAGGAGATTGCACATCGAGCCAAATTTGCTCATTACAACAAAATACCGAATATCGGTCATAAGCATGCTAAGTGCATAATAACATCCCTGAGGGAACATATAGCGTCATAAGCTACAAAACTCAAGCACAACTGAGGTGCGATATACAATCTGAATCTCAAGAGCTACCTTGCTCATAATACATCATTTCTACGCGGATTCTCAACACAAAAGCAATTTCTCAAGCCGTCCCACAACTCACACGGCGCAATGCATCACTACATAAAATA